AGTGAGCAACAATCGGATTGGGACCTGCACATCCCGGGGGTGCTTTCGGCGTACAGGATGACTCCTCATGCGGCTACGGGTTATTCGCCATTTTACCTTATGTATGGTCGGGAAAACGTGCCGCCAATGGATGTGCAGATGGGAACCGGTGTGAGGGGACCTTGTAAACCGCTTCCTGACTACATTCGGGACACTGTTCGCCGGGTCTCGGAGGCGCGGGAGAGTGCCCGTGTGGCTACGGCCAAAGCTCAGGCCCGAAATGAGAGGTACGCACGGCGTTCCAAAGGGGAGTGCCCCTGGAAGGTTGGGGACCTGGCCTGGCTCCATTGCCCGCAGGTGCGGCCGGGTACCTCTCCCAAATTTCACAAACCTTGGCGAGGGCCTGTCCGCCTCATTGAGGTTCCTAATCCTCAGTCGGCGCGTGTTCAAATTGGTTCTCGCCGCTGGTTTGTTCACACGTCGCGCTTGAAACCGTATGTTGCTCCCCTACATGATGCATCATCTCCCAATGTTGCCTTGCCGGGGTCTGTTGCTGCCGACTCTCCCCCGCCTGCGTCCATTGATCTTGCTAGAGCGCCTGTCGTACCTGTTCCAGGCAGGCCGGCCTTGACACCGGAGGGGACGAGGCGCTCTGCTCGGAGGGTGCCTGCCAGATCTGCGGGTCCTTCGAGCCCTGCAGCCCTTCCGACCCCGCTGCAGACGCATCCGCGGGACAAGCCCAAGACTGATCCTTCAAGGACACGGGACGTTGGTGGACTTCCAACAGCGACAGGGGGATTTCACCCTGTCGCTCCTCAAACTCAATCACGTTCCCGTTCCGCGGATGGGCCGCCGACCGTCCGGGACGGGCCGGCGACCCGCACACGCTCTAAATCCCTTGTGTTTCGTTGATTGTTATGTTGTATTGTTCTTACTGTGTATTTATTGCCTGCTTCTGCTACGTTATTGATTGTTGAGTTGTGTTGATTGTTCTTACTGTTATATTGCATGCTTGGTGTCCTTTGGTGTGTTACGCTCGGGTTCGCCCGCATTACTGTTGGTGTTGTTCAGCCGAGGTCGGCTGGGTTTTTCTCCACGGGGGAGGGTGGTGTAATGCGGGCGCGGGCGACCTCCCGGATGTGACGTCACGGAGAGGTGGAGTTAGGTGACGTGGGAGGAAAGGTTAAGGTTCTTAAGGGAGGAGACCGGAAGAGAAAGGCAGAACGAGTGGGACTGGACCAGAGTAAGGCCACGTGGGCAAAGCCAAGGGGTGGCAGCGGCGGCCAGCGGTGGCCAGCTAAGGGAGCAGCCAGCGGAGCTGCGAGAGAAGACAGCGGTGGGGCGGCTGGAGAGAAGGCGGACGAGGAGCTGCGGGGAACACAGCCGGCGAGGCTGTGTGTGAGGGAGAGGCTACGAGAGCGACGAGAGGAGAGAGAGGCTGAGAGAACGACGAGGGGAGAAACTGCAGGAGAGCAGTATCAGTGTCAGTATAGAGTCTTATAGAAGGACAGCCGTGCGGGTTAAGAGAGAAGAACCGAATAAAGGACACCAAGCCAGACATCGTGGTCGAGTCCATTATTACACCCGTATGCCGAGAGGTGCTTACATCCACGTCCGCACCGTTCAGCCTGGGGGGCTGACACGGAGCTGGGATCCCCCACGGCCCCACCCCTCAGTGGGGGAGTTGCTATATAAGGCGGTGAGCCGGAGGGCTCGGGGTTCAGTGTTCAGCCTTAACCAGCGAAGCAAGAAGACCTGCTCGATAGGCCCTGGGACTCTCCTGGATCGCTGTCCTTCTCAGGAGCGACCAGGGCAAGCCAGTGGCGTGGCCCCGAGAGCCCAGAGCCGATGCTCTTGTAAGAGCCGGTCTGGGGACTCAGGGTGCCGTAATCCCAGCTTAACCAGAGCTGGGTTAACTAGCCTCCCCTAGCCCTGTAGTGGAGGACCTAGGAGTAGGCTAGCCGTGGCATAGAGTGTTGATCTCCCAGTTAGACGGGTGAAGGGGCCGATACCCCTTCAAGTGTTGTACATCTCGGCCTGTTATGTACTTTGTGCTTAATAAATAAGTGTGCCTCCAACTACATCGTCCAAGTCTCCTGGAACCTACTACACTAGTACAGCACTAGTGAATAGTGTAGTATATAGTGTAGTGTATAGTGTAGTGTATAGTGTAGTGTAGAGTATAGTGTAGTGTGTAGTGTAGTGTATAGTGTAGTGTATAGTAGTGTATAGTGTAGTGTATAGTAGTGTTTAGTGTAGTGTATAGTGTAGTGTAACTACTTCAGCCCACGTTAACAATTGGAGTAGTACGACGTTTCGCTTTGTAGTCACATCCACCATCATCGGGTGGTGGAGGGTGACGACACATCGATACTGACGCGATCGAACACAAAACCATTTATGATTAATAATATTGGTCGCGAAAGCCGACGCGTTACCAGCGGTTGTACTGTTCTCTCTATGCTCCCGCGGCCCTATTGCTCGCCGGCCTTCACTCCGAGCAGGAGTGTGGTGGTGAAGTATGGCAACCTCACCACCACCACCACCACCAACAGGCGAGGGGCTGGCGGCTTGGGATGGCTGTCATCCAGCAGCGGATCGAAGGCGTCTGCCCGTCGGAGTGGCCCCCCCCTCCTGCCCCCCCGCCCCCCCCCCTCCACCTGCCCCCCTCCACCCCCCCCTCCACCTGCCCCCCCCCCTCCACCTGCCCCCCCCCCTCCACCTGCCCCCCCCCTCCACCTGCCCCCCCCTCCACCTGCCCCCCCCCGCCCCCCCCTCCACCTGCCCCCCCCCGCCCCCCCCCCTCCACCTGCCCCCCCCTCCACCTGCCCCCCCCCCCCTCCACCTGCCCCCCCCGCCCCCCCCTCCACCTGCCCCCCCCGCCCCCCCCTCCACCTGCCCCCCCCCCTCCACCTGCCCCCCCCCTCCACCTGCCCCCCCCCTCCACCTGCCCCCCCCTCCACCTGCCCCCCCCCGCCCCCCCCTCCACCTGCCCCCCCTCCACCTGCCCCCCCCCCCTCCACCTGCCCCCCCCGCCCCCCCCCTCCACCTGCCCAGGGCCCTCGCTGGAGGCCGCGGTGGTGGTGGTGGTGGAGGGGGGGTGGTGATGGTGGTGGTGGCGTTGGTGGTGGTGGAGGAGGGGTGGTGATGGTGGTGGTGATGGTGGTGGTGATGGTGGAGGGGGGGTGGTGATGGTGGTGGTGGCGTTGGTGGTGGTGGTGGAGGGGGGGTGGTGATGGTGGTGGTGGCGTTGGTGGTGGTAGTGGTGGAGGAGGGGTGGTGGAGGAGGGGTGGTGATGGTGGTGGTGATGGTGGTGGTGATGGTGGAGGGGGGGTGGTGATGGTGGTGGTGGCGTTGGTGGTGGTGGTGGTGGAGGGGGGGTGGTGATGGTGGTGGTGGCGTTGGTGGTGGTGGTGGTGGAGGGGGGGTGGTGATGGTGGTGGTGATGGTGGTGGTGATGGTGGTGGTGATGGTGGTGGTGGTGGAGGGGGGGTGGTGATGGTGGTGGCGGTGGTGGAGGGGGGGTGGTGATGGTGGTGGTGGCGTTGGTGGTGGTGGTGGAGGGGGGGGTGGTGATGGTGGTGGTGGCGTTGGTGGTGGTGGTGGTGGAGGGGGGGGTGGTGGCGTTGGTGGTGGTGGTGGTGGTGGAGGGGGGGTGGTGGCGTTGGTGGTGGTGGTGGAGGGGGGGTGGTGGTGATGGTGGTGGCGTTGGTGGAGGGGGGGTGGTGATGGTGGTGGTGGCGTTGGTGGTGGTGGTGGTGGCGGTGGTGGAGGGGGGGTGGCGTTGGTGGTGGTGGTGGCGTTGGTGGTGGTGGCGGCGGTGGTGGCGGCGGTGGTGACGGCGGTGGTGACGGTGGTGGTGACGGTGGTGATGGGTGGTGGTGGAGGTGGTGGTGGAGGTGGTGGTGGAGGGGGGTGGTGGTGGTGGTGGCGGCGGTGGTGGTGGAGGGGGGTGGTGGTGGTGGTGGTGTTGGTGGTGGCGGCTCACCTCGAGTCGAGGTCACCGTCCTGCTGGAGGCTCTCGGAGCCACGCCGCCTCTGCATCGCGGCTCACCGCGTCCGCATGGCGCCCTCTTTGTCACCCCCCCCCCCCCCACAACAACTACCAGTCACACAGCATCACCAACAACAACAACAACCACTAATCACTCAGCATCACCACCAACAACAACTACTAACTGTCACACAGCACCACCACCACCACCGTCATCACTTCCTCACTCCCAGGCTCCACGAGCGAATCGCAGGTCGTGACGTGACAGGCAAACAGCCAGTACACTCCCACTAGGAACACCCCCACCCAGGACACACCCACCCACCCAGGACACACCCACCCACCCACCCAGGACACACCCACCCACCCACCCAGGACACACCCACACACCCAGGACACACCCACCCACCCAGGACACACCCACACACCCAGACACACCCACCCCACCCAGGACACACCCACCCACCCCAGGACACACCCACACACCCAGGACACACCCACCCACCCAGGACACACCCACCCACCCAGGACACACCCACCCACCCCAGGACACACCCACCTACCCAGGACACACCCACACACACCCAGGACACACCCACCCACCCAGGACACACCCACCCACCCAGGACACACCCACCCACCCAGGACACACCCACCCCACCCAGGACAAACCCACCCACCAGGACACACCCACCCACCCAGGACACACCCACCCACCCAGGCACACACCCAGGACACACCCACCCAGGACACACCCACCCAGGACACACCCACCCAGGAACACACCCACCCACCCACCCACCCAGGACACACCCACCCAGGACACACCCACCCAGGACACACACACCCACTCAGGACACACCCACCCAGGACACACCCACCCACCCAGGACACACCCACCCACCCACCCAGGACACACCCACCCACCCAGGACACACCCACTCACCCACCCAGGACACACCCACCCACCCAGGACACACCCACCCACCCAGGACACACCCACCCACCTAGGACACACCCACCCACCCAGGACACACCCACCCACCCACGTCAGTGCGCTACTCGTTGCTGAAGAAGAGCGGCAGTGAGTAGGAGACGTCTTTAAACATCTTGGGGTGTGAAAGCGCAGACGTGGGTTCTGTTTTATGCGCAGCGATTGAACAACGCACGTGTGTGTGGGGGGGTGTGTGTTAGTGTGTGTATGTTGGTGTGTGTGTTGGTGTGTGGGTGTGTGTGTTGGTGTGTGTGTGCGCGTGCGTGTGTGTGGGTGTTTGTGTGTGGGGTGTGCGTGTGTGGGTGTGTGGGTGTGCGTGTGTGGGGGCGTGTGTGGGTGTGTGCGCGTGGGCGTGTGTGGGTGAGTGTGTGTGGGGGTGTGTGGGTGAGTGTGTGTGCGCGTGGGTGTGTGTTGGTGTGTGTGTGGGTGTTGTGCCATGCAGGGCCGGCCTTCCATGGGGCGCCACGGTGGCTAGGAGTAGGGTGGCCAGCACCACGTCCGGCCGCCTTTGTCTCCCCTAGTGACGTTGACTACACACCGCACCAGGTACTCGTTTACTGCTGAGTCGATCTCAGGGACAGACCCTGCAGGTGCCATGGGTTGGCTGACCGAGATGACCGGCAGATGCACCACCAGCTGTACCCCCTACTGTGCCAGGCTAGGTGCAGGAGGTCTCGCGACAGACCCTTCAGGTGCCATGGGTCGGCTGACCGAGATGACCGGCTGATGCACCACCAGCTGTACCCCCTACTGTGCCAGGCTAGGTGCAGGAGGTCTCGGGACAGACCCTGCATGTGCCATGGGTTGACTGACTGAGATGACCGGCAGATGCACCACCAGCTGTACCCCTCAGCTGTACCAACTTGCTTGATTTTACCCGCCCGGCGCTCCGCTCGTTGTTGTGAGCGTCGCTCCTCTGCCCTCCGTTGTTGTTGCTGGAGGGCGACTGCCTCCAACTGCCCAGCAGCAGCGTCCTTCACGCGCAGTGTACTAATAATATATCTTGGCAGGCTGTGCTGGAACGCGACCAATATACACCCCCCAACACACTGCATGCAAGGGGCCAAAGGGGCAGCCCATAAATGACGTCACGCGATTTTGGACGATTTTTGACCCCCTCCCCCCATTCGTCACACGGCGTCACAAAAAGTCAGACCCCCCCCCTCAAATATGACGTCACAAAGCTCTGCCCCCCCCCCCGAAAAACCATATTTCCATTTTAAAAATAAAACATGCTTCAAATCGCTTTAAACTATTGTCATTGTAGTGCGTATTTAATGTGGCGCTGCAATCCGATGTTGTAGGAGAAAACATTTATTAAAAAGTCGATTTACTTAAGTAGAACGTGTTGTCTATATTTATTTAAAGTTGCGCATTTTGATGTGACGTCACATTTCTCACCCCCCCCCCCCTCGTCACACATCGTCACAAATGTCTGACCCCCCCCCCCAACTTGGTGCGTGACGCCAAAGTAACGACTGGACAGCACTCTACTCTTTGGCCTTTCAGTTTTTAACCAAACACCGAGCAATGATGTCATAGAGAGCACGGATACTGTGACCCCGCCAAACGAACGAGCCCATCATCGTGCCCCTGGTCCGGTAAAGTAACGTGTAAAGTAACGTTTAAAATACATATTTAAAGTATAAAATGTATATGTTTGTATTTGTTCGCAGATTTGCGGTGCAAGTTCGTGAAAAAAAATTCGCTGTGGCTGAACGAAATATATTGTGTCGTGGGAATTACAGGATTTGCGTGTTTTTACAGTGGTGTTTATTGATGGATATGCTGCTGTAGTACAATATACCCACTAAAGTTGTCTTCTTCGTACGTCTGATGCTAGTTGGGGGGGGGGGGAGGGGGGGTTCGTCCATACTTCACCACGCCGGTCAGTGCGGGTTGGTGAACGAAACCGGGAGAGAGATGGTTTCAATTATGGAATTTAAAAAACCGGGGAGATGGAGCGATGCAATCATTACAAGCGACATCTGCGAATCGCACAACGCTCGGCAGCTTGCGGGACGCTTTTCATCCAGCGGTGGATTGACCCTGGCTGCTGCTGATGATGATGGTGACGACTGTCGTTTGGTGAATGTCTACGCAGATTGATGAATCAACGTTCGCAGACCATGGCGGAGGGGCTCCCTCGAACCTTTCCGCAAGTCAAGGAGATGGTTGCCGCTGCGCACAGAGCCTCCTCGGCCACGGAGAAGCTTCGCTTTTACGAGCAGTGGGCAAAGGATTATGATGCGGTGAGGTTTCATTCAGTCAGTCGTTGCCTTGCCCTCTGTGAGATTGCCCTCACCTCTCTTGTCTGCGGTGTGACGTCGTTAACTACCTCGCCTGGTGTGCAGGATGTCGTGGGTGCGAACCCGACCCTGACGCCTGCTGCTGATGTATATTTGGAGTTTGCGTGTCTCTTTCTCTCATCATCATCACGGTGGCTAGGAGATGTTGACTACCTCGCCTGGTATATAGGAGGTCGTGGGTTCGATCTCGGCCCCGATGCATGTTGTATATTTGGAGTTCGCGTGTCTCTCTCATCATCATCATCACGGTGGCTAGGAGATGTTAACGACCTCGCCTGGTATACAGGAGGTCGTGGCTTCGATCGCGACCCAGATCCCTGCTGCTGTATATTTGGAGTTTGCGTGTCTCTCTCTCTCCCCGTGGTTGCGTGGATTTTTTTTGTACGGTTCCTCCGGTTTTTCCCTCGACATTTAGAAACATGCATTGAGATTGTTTAGATTATTTTCCTGCTACAAATTTCCAAATGCTGGGCCACTTTGTTGAGCTATCGTTTGTGGTGGCCAGGTCGCTCCTGAAAAATAAGTTGATACCTCAGTGGGCTTAGCCTGGAAGGATGGGGATGGTTTCGTTTTATTTGTTCGTGTTTGAGTGTTTTTTTTACTTTCTTGTACTTTGCACTCCCCACCGTGTTATTGTACAGTCTGTTGTAGTAACATTCTTACCCCGTGCTTTATAGCTCATCGGATTCCTCCAATATAAATACACTTTCTGATTCTGTATTTCAACAAGTCATCTCTATGATCTGATCTTGCATTCATTCGCTTGTCTTCTGTGAGATTTCATTCATTCATTCTCGTCTACGACCTGCGAAATTGCATTCTCATCCCATTGTCCGTTTCAAAAAGCGTCTCCTGTCTGAGTACTTGACTCGGATTCCACGCCGCCAACGCTTTCCCGCTGTTTCCACCTTGCCAAGCAGCACTGCCCGGCGCTGCCAATACGCGGTCAAATTACCGCCGCGACTCGGTTTACTGTGATTATATAACACTGGTCAACACACTTTTTCTGGCATAAGGTATTCCAACGGCTTTAAGGTACTTTTGGGGTGCTGATTCCAAATCTGGCATCAGTTTTTGTCTATCACATCAGGTTTTTGAGATATCAAATATTGCATTTTCAATAAAAACTGCAGAAGAAAACTATTAAATAAATGTGGATATCTACATAAAACGATATTATAAAGACACTATCCTAAAAAATACAGCACCATATTTTAACACTAAAGCAGTCACTGACTCGCAACAACTTGCAATCATAAGTGACAGAGTTAATTTCGGGTAAAATCAATGAAAATGGGGTATGCCGATAGCATAAAAATGAGATGTGATAGAGCAAATCTGAGATCAGATTTGGAATCAGCACCCTGAAATTAGTCTAAAACAGCTGCAAAAGTCCAGGCCAGAAAAATATGTTTTTTTTTGTTGACCAGTGTTATCGTCGTCATCGTGCGCGTGTTGTTGCGTGTTGGTGCGTGTTGGTGGGTGTTGGTGCATGTTGGTGCGTGTTGGTGCGTGTTGGTGCGTGTTGGTGCGTGTTGGTTAGTGTTGGTGCGTGTTGGTGTGTGTTGGCGCGTGTTGGCGCGTGTTGGTGCGTGCGTCCCCGCAGGACGTGCACGTGCTGGAGTACCGTGCGCCGTTCCTCGCGGCCGAGATGCTGGCGTCCCGCGTGCCCGCGTGCGAGCGGGCGAGCGCCACGGTGCTGGACGTGGCGTGCGGGACCGGACTCGTGGCTCAGCAGGTCAGGGTTGGCTACGTACGGTGCGAAAGAAGTTCGAGACACACAGTTACAACTCTACCCACCCAAACCCTACTCCCACGTCTTCCCCTACCCCACCGCCCCCGCGTTGAGCGAGGAGCTGACGTGACCCCACCCCCTCCCCAAGCTTCAAACTAGCACACAGAGACGCGCAAATAAGCACTCCCCTCCCCCCCTGCAACATGCACCGTGCACCGTGAAAACAACAATCAAGAGTTCCCCAAGTACTCCACCACCACCACCAGCAGCAGCAGCAGTTGCTTACGAGTTGGCTGCAGCTGTTCATATTCTGCAGCGTTCCCCAACCTTTTTTTTGGCACCAGGGACCGGGTTCGTGGAAGACAATTTTTTTCACGGACCGGGGTGGAGGGGGGGGTCATCATTGGGTTTTTCCCCCTTTTCAAAGAAGCTCTCCAGCGACGTTTGTTTTTTACTCATTTTGGCTACTAGGGGTTAGAGCTCGTGGGCTCGCCAACACTGTGTGCAGTGCGGGAAAGAGGCACGGACGGAAGTGGTAAATAATAAAATAATGGGGCGGCCCACGCACGGACTCACCGCTCTCACCTCCTCCTGCTGCTGCGCAGCCCGGTTTCCAACAGGCCACGGGCCGGTAGCGGTCCGCGTCCCGAGGGTTGGGGACCCCTGATATTCTGGATGTGCCACAAGGCAGCGTATTGTCCTGCGGCAGCCCGACACCCAGCTTGACGTGTCGTGAGTGAGATTAAGGTGAAGAAGAGTTCAAATGCACGGCATGGATGCCTCACCGGCGTCGTCATGGCAAATGCAAATTTCAAAAACCGCGCTGCAAAAAAAATAACAAATCCTTCCGGCCGGCCGGATTTCAAACTCGGCGATTTCAACAAACCCCACCGGCGCGACGCGTTGTTCTCATTTGCCGTCCCTTTGCTCCCGTCAGCTGCAACGGCTGGGCTTTCGACGGATCCGCGGAATTGACGGAAGCGCGGAGATGTTGGACGTGGCCGCGACGAAAGGCGTCTACGAGAGCATGCGGCGCTGCGTGTTGGGGGACGATCCCTTGCCTCTCGAGTCCGGTGAGTTTTTTTATTTCGTGATGAAAGACGGACGATGTTTACCGCTGTCAATGCGAGGTCTTGGGTGCCTCGAACGATTTCAATGGCGGGGTCGTTGGCTCGTGGCGGCCGAGAGACGGGAACGGCCCACTCCGCTGTCATTTAAATTTTAAAAGAAAATAATAATAATAACCAATAGGTAAGCGTCGGTTTTTTACCCTTTTATCTGGCAACAAAACTGACACCTTTTTTTACAAGGAGTCATGTTTGCATTGACCACAATACTTGCGGTCGGAATGCAAACAAAAAACAAAACTCTGATAATGTATGCACTGTCCTTGAAATTGATTGGTCCACACCCGAGACAGCTTTTCTTAGAGCCTAGTCTCACATGGTGTTGGTTTTGTTGCCAGATAAAAGGGTAAAAAACTAATTATCATATTTTGCTACTGTCAAAGGAGATTCCAATGGTGTAATTTCTTAACCCGAGCTCTCATACTCTGATGGTGCATTGTCTTTGAGTTGTGCGCCTTTTGGCATCATCTGGTCCCACACCATATGAGACTAGGCTCTAAGAAAAGCTGTCTCTTGTGTGGACCAATCAATTTCAAGGACAGTGCATACATTATCAGAGTTGTGGTTTTTGTTTGCATTCCGACCGCAGGTATTGTGGTCAATGCAAACATGACTCCTCGTAAAAAAAGGTGTCAGTTTTCTTGCCAGATAAAAGGGTAAAAAAACAATTATCATATTTTGCTACTGGCAAAGGAGGTTCCAATGGTGTAAATGCTTACCCCGAGCTCTCATACTCTGATGGTGCATTGTCTTTGAGTTGTGCGCCTTTTGGCGTCATCTGGTCCAACACCATGTGAGACTAGGCTCTTAGAGAAGCTGTCTCGGTTGTGGACCAATTAATTTCAAGGACAGTGCATACATTATCAGAGTTATGTTTTTTGTTTGTATTCCGACTGCAGGTATTGTGGTCAATACAAACATGACTCCTCGTAAAAAAAAGGTGTCAGTTTTGTTTCCAAATAATAGGGCAAAAAATCAATTATCATATTTTGCTACTGGCAAAGGAGGTTCCAATGGTGAAGGTAAGCGTCGTTTCACATTGCAGAGCCCGACAGCTGCCCTCTCTCTCCCCAGATGCGTTTGACGCGGTGATAATTGTCGGAGCGCTCAGCGACGGGCAGGTCTCCCATGCCATCCTTCCCGAGTTGGTCCGAGTCGCCAAACCAGGTGGGGTAACGTTGCACCCTTCACTCGTTGTCCGTCAAACTCGCAGTGCACACGAAGGTTCCTCGTTCTTACAACCACGGATGGAATGTCACGACGGACCAGCGCCTATGAAGCTGGCACAGCACACGCGCGGGGGATTGGGCGGGCACCACCAAAGTGCTCAGGACGCCGTGGTGGCTAGGAGATGTCGACTACCTCGCCTGGTGTGCAGGAGGTCGTGGGTTTGATCCCTAACCCTGTCGCCTGCTGCTGTATATTTGGAGTTTGCGTGTCTCTCTCATCATCACCACGGTGGCTAGGAGATGTTGACTACCTCGCCTGGTGTGCAGGAGTTCGTGGGTTCCATCCCGACCCTGAAGCCTGCTGCTGCTGTATATTTGGAGTTTGCGTGTTCTCCCCATGGTCACGTGGATTATTTTTTTCTCCACGTCCTCCAGCTATTCCCTCCACATTTCGAAACATGCGTTTCGAGTATTTGGCTGCTATAAATGTCCACACAGTAAGCCACTTCGTTTAGGTATCATACATAGCCAGATCACTTCTGAAAAAGAGCTGTACAGATCAGTGGGCCTTACCTGGTGAAATAAAAACAATATTTTAGTTTACAGCTTAGCCACCCATGTGTCCCCCTCCCCACCCTTCCCTTCCTGATCCCACTGCCACCACCCCACGCACTCGGGCCGAGGTTGCATCATCTAAACGAGGTCCTGGATTCCGCTGGAGATGGTGCACCGTACGTAGCCGACCGTGCGAATCGGAGGTGCGGGGGAAGGACAACAAACTAAACAGTTGAACACGTAAGCTTTGGCGATGAAGATCATCCAAAACAGAGGGTTTTTTTGGGTTAGATCGCGTAAATATATAAATGTGTCGTTAAACCCGCCACCACCCGACACAGCCAACGAGTAAGGTTTGTCATGTAAACAGAACGTGGCCAATTCTAAACTAGTACAGCACGCCGGTGTGTTGGAGAGCCAAGCCACAACATTTACAATCCGAGTTCGACGTTTCACCAGTAATTACAAGCGGCATCATCAGTAACGAATTGGCCACGTTCTGTTGACGTGACACTAAACCTTACTAATTGGTTGTGTCAGGTGGTGGCGGGTTTAACGACGCATTTATATTCACGCAATCTAACACAAAACAATGGAAACTAAACACAAAAAGCAGTTCTAAAATAAATGAGTTCCCAGCCAAGATGCAAAAGTGCACATCCGCAGTGGCTTCCTGATATCGGAATGAAGAGCGTTCCACATGTCACTGCACCATCCTCCCCACCCCCCACGTCAACGCTCGACTATAATTAATAATTCACGCGCGCAGATGCACGGGACCCCCCCCCCCCCCCCCCCCCCGAGCCGGCTGCTGCAGAGTGTGGCTCTCCGCTCCACTGACTTTGCTCGTTAAAACCCAGGGCTTTCCGGCACCGACCGGAATGTGTTTATTTCTTTCTTGTGCTGCGGCTGCTGTGGCTGCAGAAGCCCGTCCTTACACAAACAACCACGGTGACATTTTGGGTGACCGCTGTTACCACTGAGTGTGCACCAAATTCTGGCAACATCGCCGGATGATGGGGCTGCCTGTAGTCACCGGGCGAGAACGTCGCGTGGTACTCTAATTGTTCGACGCTTTGGGGTTTACTCTGCAACACCACCGGTGTGCTGCTGAAACAGCAACGAAGTGGCACGATTTTGCTTACGTGACAAAGCTTCCTAATTGGCAGTGTCGTTTGGTTGGCGGGGTTAACGACACGTTGAGATCTCACCCAACAAAAACCTCTCATGGGAATTGAACACGAAGGTGATTTATCGAATGTTAAATTTCGATTTAAAGCTTTCGTGACTGCAGGGATTCATCTTATTGGTTCTTTCGGTAAAGTCACGTAGAAGGGAAATAATAAAATAATAAAAATAAACATAATAAAATATTTTATAATATTATTTTATTATGTTTTATTTTTTTATTATGTTTTATTTATTTTATTATTTCCCTTCTACGTGACTTTATCAAATGTTGAGCAATGTGTACCACGACGCAGGCACGCGGTGGCCTCGTCTTGCGAACGACGCCACGGGTATCTTTAACGTCCAGGGGGCAAGCGGAGAGCGCGGAGTTGTTGCTCACGCCACTGCTGGCTCGAGCAAACTCCGTCCGGCCGGGAGGGGGAGGGCGGTAATTGGCCTACTCTTCCACGTGTGACCAGACGTGTCTGGAAGAGGTTGGCGTAACCCACAATCAGAATCAAAATCAAGTTAGTTTACACTTGAGGAATCCGATGAGCGATCGGATGTCCAACATTGGTCACCCACATTGTCACCCACATTGTCACCCACATTGTCACCCACATTGTCACCCACATTGTCACCCACATTGTTCACCACATTGTCACCCACATTGTTACCCACATTGTTAACCCGACTGCACGCGACTAACTGCGGCACACGGCTAGGTGGGCCGGCGCGGTGGGTTTTGAGAAACGGTCCTTAATTGGCGAACTGGCAACGTCCCGCGTTAGGAGCCCAGCGCCCTGACCATCCCATATGACCACCCCACCATCGAACCTACGACCTCCTGCATACCAGGCGAGGTAGTTAACATCTCCTAGCCACCGTGATGATGATGAGAGAGAGACACGCAAACTCCAAATATACAGCAGCAGGCGTCAGGGTCGGGACCAGACCCACGACCTCCTGCACACCAGGCGAGGTAGTCAACATCTCCTAACCACACGTAGTGCCTCCACCGTCACCAGACTCCGCTACCGCCACTGTGTCGTCACAGGGTCACCGCTGTGTCGTCACAGGGTCACCGCTGTGTCGTCACAGGGTCACCGCTGTGTCGTCACAGGGTCACCGCTGTGTCGTCACAGGGGCGCCGCTGTGTCGTCACAGGCGCGCCGCTGTGTCGTCACAGGGGCGCCGCTGTGTCGTCACAGGGGCGCCGCTGTGTCGTCACAGGAGCGCCGCTGTGTCGTCACGGGGGCGCCGCTGTGTCGTCACGGGCGCGCCGCTGTGTCGTCACAGGGGCGCCGCTGTGTCGTCACAGGTGCGCCGCTGTGTCGTCACAGGGGCGCCGCTGTGTCGTCACAGGGGCGCCGCTGTGTCGTCACAGGGGCGCCGCTGTGTCGTCACGGGCGCGCCGCTGTGTCGTCACGGGCGCGCCGCTGTGTCGTCACGGGGGCGCCGCTGTGTCGTCACGGGGGCGCCGCTGTGTCGTCACGGGGGCGCCGCTGTGTCGTCACAGGGGCGCCGCTGTGTCGTCACAGGGGCGCCGCTGTGTCGTCACAGGGGCGCCGCTGTGTCGTCACAGGGGCGCCGCTGTGCCTGACGACGCGCTCGAGCGCGCAGAACGCAGGCTTCCTGCTGCAGCTGGAGGGCCGCATGGGGGAGCTGAGCGCCGCGGGCGCCTGGCGGCTCGAGGCGCGGCAGGAGGAGGCGCGCTGGGAGCGAGACGTTGTCGCGGGCACGGCCACGCCGTCGTACATTCCGGGAGTCGTGTATCCTCTACCGCAAGCTTGACTAATAAACATCGATATATTGCTTTTGTTGTGTGGGGGGTTCTTTTTTTTTTCAGAAGCTGACCCCGGCTGACACGTGGGTAGCCCAACGGAGCGACTTTGTCACGCGGAGAAAATGTATCGCGGGCAAATACTCCGAAACGCACTGACGTCGATTCTAAATGTGGGAGGGGAAAAGCGGAGGAGCTGGAGAGAATCGACGCCACCACGGGAAGAGAGAGAGACGCAGACTCCAAATACACAGCAGCAGCAGCAGGCGTCAGGGTCGAGATCGAAGCCACGACCTCCTGTGTACCAGGCGAGGTAGTCAACATATCCTAGCCACCGTAATGATGATGACAGAGAGAGACGCAAACTCCAAATGTACAGCAGCAGCAGCAGCAGGCGTCAGTGTTGGAATCGAAGCCACGACCTCCTGCACACTAGGAGAGGTAGTTAACATCTCCTAGCCACCGTGATGATGATGAGAGAGAGAGAGACACACAAATTCCAAATATACAGCAGCAGCAGGCGTCGGGGTCGGGATCGTACCCACGACCTCCTGCACACCAGGCGAGGTAGTCAACATCTCCTAGCCACCGTGACACCCTTACACTACGTAATATAACCACATGAACATGGTTAACAAAACCACCGGGACTAAACTAAATCAATGAATGGGACGAAATGAATGTGCCAGGGTGCAAAAAGTAATCACTGGAAGAGGGTATTCCGGACTGTTCCGGCTCCAGTAAGACACTGAGTCGGGGTGCTCGGCAAACACAGGTGTGGTGAGCCTGTGGTCCCGGTGGGGGCGAGGGTGACCCAGCCAGGTAAGGCGGTGGAGGGGCGGGGGACCCACCTCAAGCGCAGGTGGCGCAAGCCGGACTGAACTCATCCCGCACTGAGAGGAGTGCACGGCGGACACGGGGTAGCGAGCGCATCATCGATACGACAGCACGCACATCGATTCGTGTGCAAGTGCCCATACATACAAGCCAAGGATCTCACCCCCTCCCCCCCACCAATATGGCCTTCAACAGACTGTAGGGGCAAGTGTTGTTAGCGAGCACCTATGAAGGCCGGCACGGCACACGATGGAGTGGGTGGCCAACACCACGCCCGGTCGCCTTTGTCTCCCCAGTGGCGATGTTTACTACACACCGCACCAGGTGTTCATTTAAGGCCGAGTCGAACTAGGAGAGGCCCAGTACCGGTTCAGATAATCGTCACCGGGCGTTGGCCGTGAGCGGGAATCGAACTCGGGTCGCCGGGTTCGTCAGCGCAGCGTAGCGCTAACCGCTGCACCACCGCTCCCCACAACATATATATACACACACAGACACACACGACACACACACAGACACACACACAACACACACGACACACACACAGACACACACACACGACACAGACACACACACGACACAACACACACACACACAACACACACATGACACACACACATGACACACACACAGATACACACGACACACAAACAGACACACACGACACATACACGACACACACACAACACACACAGACACACGACACACACACACACACACACACACGACACACACACACGACACACACACGACACACACAGACACACGACACACAACACACACAACACACACGACACACACACACAGACACACGACACACACACACAGACACACCTCCATCTGCCTCCAACCACGACCTCCCCCGCTCCCTGCCGCACCAAACCCGCCAGAGACTCGACGGCTCCGCACCGCGCCCGCCCCGACCCCCTGCGCCGCCACCGGCGCCGACTGCCCGGGTCGACCAGCGACCTCCGTCTGCCTCGTCGCCCTTGGGACCAGCCCAGGGCTCGCACGTCGCCGCCAAAGTCGCCTTGCCGGTGATGCGGCGGCAGTGCACAGATAGCGAGGGTCCTTGCACCGAAACGTCGCCGGCGGTGATTTTTTGTTTTTCCTATTGAGGCAGTTTTTTGGGGTGGCTAGGAGATGTTGACTACCTCGCCTGGTGTGCAGGAGGTCGTGGGTTCGATCCCGACCCTGACGCCTGATGCTGTAGATTTGGAGTTTGTGTGTGTCTCTCTCCCTCTCATCATCACGGTGGCTAGGAGATGTTGACTACCTCGCCTGGTGTACAGGAGGTCGTGGGTTCGATCCCGACCCTGACGCCTGCTGCTGTAGATTTGGAGTTTGTGTGTCTCTCTCTCATCATCACGGTGGCTAGGAGATGTTGACTACCTCGCCTGGTGTGCAGGAGGTCGATGATCATGCACGGATTGTCTTTGTGGCCTCGTCTCACCGCCAGTGCCAGACCAGAGAACGACAATGCGAGTATCAAAGTACGAATGGCTCGGGCCGAGCTGTTGTGTCTACGGGGACGGTAGATTGGAGACCCGCGCGGTTCAATCCCCTCCGAGACGAGGCCACGCCGCGCGGAGCCGCCTCGGGGGAAGATCCACATCGGAGGGTGCGCGGTTCATCCACCTGTAGGGTCCACGCGGCGTGAACGTGTCGCCCACACAACTCCGACGCACCCACACACACACCTACACACACACACTCACACACACTCTCACACACACACCCACAAACACTCACACACACCCACACATACACACACACTCACACACACTCTCACACACACACCCACAAACACTCACACACACCCACACATACACACACACTCACACACACCCACACACACACACCTACACACACACTCACACACACTCACGCACACTCACACACCCACCCACGCACACATCTACACACCCACACACCCACACGCACACACACACTCACCCACACACCCACACACCCACACACATCCACAATAACAACAACAACCGCCATTCGCAACTAAGTGGCGGTGACGTCACCACGACGCTTGTGCCAGGCTATGTGCACCTTGAGGCCACACACCCACCCACACACACGGGGAGCGCGCACGCACGCACGCGCACACGGCCGAGCTGATAAGGGGCAGCTACGTAAGGCGCAGTCAGTCTCTCTCGGAGACGGGCGAGGTCTGGTGGGTGTTTCTGCGTCAACAGAAATTAACACCATTGCTGACACGGGAGACATCTGCTGCTCTCTGCCGCTGCCGACCACTTTCAACCACTTTAAGCCACAAGCACGCCACTTTAAGCCAGAAGTTGTTTCGTTAAGAACACACCTACTCACGCAGAGAACGCACTTACACACTTACATACCCACCTAGCCCCCGCCTCATGTGATTGCGTACAAGACGCCTTGAAGAACATTGCAAGAGGACCCTCGAGAGAGAATCTAAAATCGCGGTGTCATTTAACCCTGCTCCCTGCGTCACGCAAAAAGGTAAGAAGTCGTCGCACTTGATGCCTCTTCGAACACGGGGCGATGCGCTTGGGCCACCGCGGTGGCCAGGAGATGTTGACTACCTCGCCTGGTGTGCAAGAGGTCGTGGGTTCGATCCCGACCCCTGACGATGCCTGCTGCTGTTGTCTATGTGGAATTTGCGTCTCTCTCATCATCATCATCACGTTGGCTCGGAGATGTTAATTACTTCGCCTGGTATAAACGGTCGTGGGTTCGATCCTGACCCTGACGCCTGCTGTATTTTTGGAGTTCGCGGCGTCTCTCTCTCATCATCATCACGGTGGCTGAGAGATGTTAACTACCTTGCCTGATGTGCAAGAGGTCGTGGGTTCGATCCCGACCCCTGACGATGCCTGCTGCTGTTGTCGTTTATGTGGAGTCTGCGTCTCTCTCATCATCATCATCACATTGGCTCGGAGATGTTAACTACTTCGCCTGGTATAAAGGAGGTCGTGGGTTCGATCCTGACCCTGACAACGCCTGCTGCTGTATATTTGGAGTTTGCGTATCTCTCTTTCCGTCTCCCTGTGGTCGCGTGGATTTTTCTCCGGGTCCACCGAGTTTTCCCTCCATATTTAGAATCAACATCACCACGCGTTTAGGGCATTTGTGCTGCTGCTATAAATGTTCACATGATGATAAGCCAAGATCGCTTATTTAAAAAAAGTTACATAGCTCAGTGGGCCTTACCTGGTAAAATAAAATTAAAATAGTTTACTTTATAGATATCCGCATTAAAACTTGGGGGGTACAGTAACCCCCACCTCTTCCAATACCTGTTCATAGTATATGGTTACAATAATAGAGGATCGTTACGGATAGCCACACCGTGTACTCTTAGTTGTAGTGCCTTACGCGGATTATTCATACTCCACGCGGGCACAGCAGCGTTTAGGGAAGAGTAGGCCAAGCACTCCCGAGAGGAACTCGCTGGTGGAGTGCTTTCCGCCACCAGCAGCGGAGTGAGCAAGTCGTTTCAGGGCTGCGCCTGAACCTCCTTGCCGACATTGACGTCGCCTTCCAAAGGCTCCGAAAGTCTCCCAGAAAGAAAAAAAAACATCTCAAATCGACGTAGCGCATCCCGTGCGGAATACTCCAACAATGATCATCTCGATTTAAAGCTTTCGCGACTGCACGGATTCATCTTCTTGGTTCTTTCGGTAAAGTCACGTAGAAGGGAAATAATAAAATAATAAATATAAAACATAATAAAATAATTCTCAAGACTCTGTCTTATCGACAGACATGTTCTTCACCTGAGGACGGCTGCTTGCGTTGTGGCCGAAACGTCGTGAGAATTATTTTATTATTTTAATAATTTTATTATTTCCATTATACGTGACTTTACCGAAAGAACCAAGAAGGTTAAAAATTAGTGTTTTAATATTTGTGTTTTTTTTTATTTAGGGCCCCGCTTATAACGTCACACGCTACAGGCCCGGCACTCGCTTCATCCGGCACTGGTCACTCTCACAGTGTTCGCTGGGCTGTTGAGAAGTTGGGACGTTCTCCATCGGAGGGGGTCTTCTCTAAGTGGATTGGTCTGTGCTCTCGTACTCTGTGGGTGCGCACAAAAACGTCGGTCGCGTTCATTGTTTGACCGTCGCCCCGAGGTTTTAAATTGTGTTACGTTCTAAGCTAATTATTAACATCCTCGCCGGCATCGCCTTGACGCTGCTATGGGTT